CATATTGTTTTTACTCTGTTTCTTATTATTATTATTATTATTCTTTTTTCTTCTTATTTCTTCTCCGGTACTTTTTTGTCCGCGAGTGTTCTCAGAAACTGTTCACCCAACTGAGCTAAAACCTTTTTAGGGTTAATAGGTGTGTTGTGTAGGTGTGCGGAACGAAGGTCATTTTGCGCGCATACACCTGCACGTGCGGGCGCGTGAAATGACTGAAATGACTAATATAGTTAATATAGCCATAACTTTAACATTTTCCGATGAAATGCTTTGAAACTCATTATATAAGGATATATTAATAGTGTAGATAATGTGACACTGTCAAATTAGCAAGAACTCACGCGCATTTACGTGCGCTTCGCTCTGATTGGCTGAAACAAAAATCTCAATATCTTTTCCGTTTTTTGACGAAATGGTATGAAATTTAAAATATAAGCATACTTTAAGATGTCCTACAACATGATGTATAACATTTGTCATGAAAGCATGCGCATGCACGTGCGCTGCAATCTGATTGGCTTAAACTTCAAATGGCTGTAACTCCCTTGTTTTTCAACCAACCACGATAAGATTTAGAACATAGACAGACACAATAGACTCCTATAAGAAGTTACGGTCATCATGCACATGCATGCACGCGCATGCACGTGCTCTTTGCTCCGATTAGCTGAAACAAAAATCTCAATATCTTACTTGTTTTTTGACAAAATACTTTGAATTTTAAAACATAATCATACCTTAATACGTCCTAAACTATGATATATAAAAGTTTTCAAGAAACCACGCCCATGCACGTGTGCTGCGATCTGATTGGCTTAAACTTTAAATGCCTATAACTTTTTTGATTCTCAACAAAACAGGATGAAATTTAGAATATGAATAGATATGACGGATTCTTACATTATGCTACTATCAAACTTGAATGCAAGGACTTGCATGCACGTGTGCGCGCGCAATGCGTTGAATGACCGATTTACTTGATATAGTCGTAATTTTTTTTATGAAACGTTTCAAAATTCAAAGAATAGAAACACATTAAAAGTGTAGTCACGATGATATAGCTTTCATGCATTGCACCTTCGCGCGCGTGCAATGATCAAATGACTTGTATACTTGATATGGCCGTTACTTTTATATTTCTTTATGAAATGCTTTGATGACCTTGACCTTTGACCTTGACCTTTGACCCCTTGACCCAAAGGTCACAATCCAGCTCAAGTTCGTAGATGTATTTACAAACTCACTTTAACAAATGCTTAGAATAAAAAAGTCAACCCCCCCCCCCTTCTCCTTAAAAAAAAAATCAATAACAACGTAGAAAATTTCTCTGAATCTCGATCAACACCTGGGATCGACATAAAATTTCACTTAAGGTGCAGAAAAGACTTCATAGAAAGTTTCCTGAAAGTTTTACGGTAAGTCTCTAAAGTATATAGAAATTATGAATTTTTACGGCAAAAATTACAAATTCTGTCGTGTTTGAAATTTAAGTGCAGACGAACAAAGATATGATATAAACCTTTTAAAGCCTATTTCTCCAGATGTCGTTAATAGCATTCAATTCTACTGATATGAATTAATATTTTAATACCAAGCATTCTTCTTTTATTTCACCATTGAAATTTATCTGAATTTTTTTTAGAATTACACAATCCCCAGAAATAGCGAGTTTCGGTATATTAAAAAGCAATACACGTTTCTTTCCAGTAAAACCTCACGTGTTTGAATTCATGAAAAAATATTGATAAGGGGGTGTTAAACAATACCTGTCACATTAGCTGACACCAAAAAACCAGGGTACGTACACGACATTTTCTGATTTATTTGCATATGCAAACAGGGCTACCCTCAAATCCACGTGTTTTCCATGTCTTTATAAACATCACAAAAGCACCCCAGGAAGTAGCCTCCTATGCCCTGGAGAAATAGTTCCTGTCAAAAAACTTTATTTATTTATAGAGTAGATAAAATTTCCTAGGCACAGGTACCAGAGTTGTCAAACTGGCCTGGAAGGAAATTAAAAAAACTCTCAAAAGAAAGGAAAATCGGCTTAATGTATGGACCTACAATTGACTAAGTTCATTTTCATTGGTCAATTACCGGTGTGGTACCCCTAGTCGCCTTGAACCCAGTCCTGTCTTTCTGAAGAAAACCAACTCCGAGCCCGATGTAAAAATCTTAGTAGAGAAATGAGAATTTGAATTTTGCTGCCTTATTATGTTCCCCAAACGAAGTTTGGGAACATATTGTTTTTACTCTGTTTCTTATTATGTTCCCCAAACGAAGTTGGGGAACATATTGTTTTTACTCTGTTTCTTATTATGTTCCCCAAACGAAGTTGGGGAACATATTGTTTTTACTCTGTTTCTTATTATTATTATTATTATTTTTCTTCTTCTTCCTGGGTACTTTTTTTGTCCGGGAATGATCTCGTAAACTATACATCCGACTAAGGTGAAATGTTTTTAGGGTCAGTAGACATGTTATGTAGATTTGCGGAACGAAGGTCATTTTGCGCGCACGTGCTTGCAAGAGCATGCACGTGCAACATGTGAAATGACCGATTTAATTGATATAGGCGTAACTTTTAAAATTTTTGATGAAATGATTTGAAACTTATAATATAAGGATATATTAGAAGCATAGACAATATGACATGGTCAAAATAGCAAGATCTCACGCGCATGCACGTGCGCTTCGTTCTGATTGGCTGAAACTAAAGTCTCAATATCTCTCTTGTTTTTTGACGAAATCCTTTGAAATTTTGAAAATAGCCATGCATTAATATATCCTACAAAATGATATATAGCAATTATCATGAAAACACGTGCATGCACGTGCGCTGCAATCTGATTGGCTTAAACTTTAAATAGCTATAACTCCCTTGATTTTCAACCAAACAGGATGGGATTTGGAACATAGATAGATATACTGGACTACTACAAGAAAATATGGTCACCATGCACATGCACACACGTGCATGTACGTGCGCTGCAATCTAATTGGCTGAAACTTTAACAGCTATAACTCCCTTGGTTTTCAACCAAACGGGGTGAGATTTAGAACATAGATAGTTGTAACGGACATCTACAAGAAGATATGGTTACCATGCTCATGTATGCACGTGCGTGCATGTGAAATGAGCAAAATCAAAAAAACACTTGAATGAGCGTATCTATTTAATACTTTTGGATTAAATACTTTAATATTTAGTATATTTAAATATATATAGATTGTGTAGACAAGATGATATGGTCATTACGAACATGCATTCACATGCGCACGCGTGCAATGCTAAAATTTGAATGAACTTTGTACACTTCTGGGTAAACGTTGTTAAAGTCTCAAATGCATCGAGTTTGTCTTATTTAATGAAGCTTACAGGGAATATGGCACCAAAAGGGAGTTGGGGAGCGTTTGGGGAACATCTGTAACGGTCCCCGTTACAATTAGCACTAGTTATTATTATTATTATTATTATTATTCCTGGGAAAATTTTGTCCTCGAGTGATCTTGTAAACTACACATCTGACTAAGGTAAAATGTTTTTAGGGTCAGTAGACATGTTATGTAGATTTGCCAAACAAAGGTCATTTTGCGCGCACGTGCTTGCAAGAGCGCGCACGTGCAACACGAGAAATGCCCAATATAATTGATATAGACGTAACTTTTTCAATTTTTGATGAAATGCTTTGAAACTCGTAATATAAGGATAAATTAGTAGCATAGACAAAATGACATGGTCAAAATAGCAAGATCTCACGCGCATGCACGTGCGCTTCGCTCTGATTGGCTGAAACTAAAGACTCAATATCTTTCTTGTCTTTTGACGAAATTCTATGAAATTTTGAACATAGTCATGCATTGGGATATCCTACAACATGATATATAGCAATAATTATGGAAATACGTGCATGCACGTGCGCTGCAATCTGATTGGCTGAAACTTTAACTAGCTATAACTCTCTTGGTTTTCAACCAAACAGGATGACATTTGGAACATAGATAGATATAATAAACTTCTACAAGATATATGGACACCATGCACATGCATGCACGTGCAAGTATCTGCGCTGCAATTTGATTGGCTGAAACTTTAAACAGCTATAACTTCCTTGGTTTTCAACCAAACGGGATGGGATTTAGAACATAGATAGATGTAATTGACTTCTACAAGAGAGTATGATCACCATGCTCGTGTATGCACGTGCGTGCAAGGGAAATATGTAAAATCAAAAATACACTTGAATGAGCGTATTTTTAAAAAATTTCGGTTAACTTCTTTAATATTTAGTATAAATAATATATAGATTGTGTACACAAGATGATATGGCCATTACTTATATGCATTCACATGCACAGGCGTGCATTGCTAAAATTTGAATGAACTTGGTACACTTCTAGGTAAACGTTGTTTAAGTCTTAAGTTTGTCTTCTTTAATGAAGCTTACCGGGAATACGGCACCAAAAGGGAGTTGGGGAGCGTTTGGGGAACATCTGTAACGGTCCCCGTTACAATTAGCACTAGTTTCAATATGTAATGACATATACAAATCATGAAAATTAACATTCTTGACCCTCAAATTCGAAAGTTCATTGAATCTTAAAAATCCTGCAAAAGCAACCAAAAACATCGTACAAATTCTAACACAAGACAAATCATTTTTAACATTGTCATTACCATATTTATTTACAATTTTCTCTAAGATTTCTGGAGTTATCGGCTCTTTTTTCTGAACAGGTTTGCAAAGAATCCTCTTCCCTCCTTCCATAATCAACTGAAGTATTTTCGTCTCACACGGATTCATACAAATATTAGCATCATGGTTCCACTTAATACTATAGAAATACGCGGAAAGCACAGAATCGGACACAGCTTGTTGCACAAGACTACTTAGAAAAACTGCCACAGTACTCACAGACGCCGGTAGATAAGAAACACCATTTCCCGCGCACCATTTTTTAAACTTCTGGAAATACGCATCATATAATTTGTTAGTCTTCTCACTTTTACCACTTTTGATGATACGGGGAATTTCTGATACAGCGGCTGAAAGTGATGTATTCTTTTCCATTTGTCGAATCTCCATCCAAAACTTCTTGTATTCCTATTAATAAATCAATACATTTAATGAATTTTTATACATTCAGTGCACCAATACTTCACATTTTGTTATTTACGATTATTTTTGCACATGGTGCATGTTTTATTTTTATGCATGATATTGCACATGGTGCATGTTTTCTATAATGTACGTTATGCACATGGTGCTTGTGTATTTCTAGAAATTTGCACATGGTGCATAATATATGTTTTCTCATTCAGCATTAATGCACATGGTGCTCTTATCTATTTTGCGACTATAACTGGTAATACACATTTTATCTAAAATCTACTTTTAAAGCCAACACATTACCCGAAAACTTCTTCAAAGCGAAAATGCTATTTGTATCTGAACCTGCTATGAAAAAATTATGCGGTTCCTTGTATTCAATGTAATCTTTAATAAAATGCTTGAATCTTTTACTTTTTCCCTCCCAAATTACTGGCCAAAACAACGCCGATTTCCATTTCGGAATAACTAAAGTACCAAATCCTTTACAAAATTGTAAATAATAAACTACTCTGCAAATTAAAACAGGAGGAGGAACAATCCAGCAATTATCCCCTGCCCAGTCTTGAGCAAATGCATCTACCCCAGCAGTTCCAGGAGACCAGTATCTAGAGTAAAATTTTTCTGTTTTGTGATTTTTACAATCAGCAAATAAGTCACAGGTGAATTCGCCCCATTTCTTATTTAAATAATTGAATATATTATCTGATACTCCCCAATCGCCAAAATCGAATATCTTGCTCAAGTGATCTGCATAAACATTCAAATTTCGTGGAATCCATTCAATTTCTAATCGTATAGAATTTCTTACACACAGTCCAAACAGACTCAAAGCTAGCTGATGCAGCTCAAACTTCATACTTCCTTTACATAAAATTGTCAATGCATTTTGATTATCTGTGTAAACTTTGACCAACTTTCCTGAAAAATATTTACACAAAGTTTCAATGATAACACAAATTGTTTTAATCTCTCTCCAAGTAGAACTTCGGCTTTTTTCGAAATCATTCCACATATAATGTACAATTTTGCTATCATGTTCAATAGAAAATCCTGCACCAGCAAATGAACTTGCATCTGAAAATACGATTTTTTCAGGTAAACTACATTCAGCATTTGTTATTCGTCTAGAAGGTAACGCCCACAAATTTGTCAACCAGAAATCCAATTCATATATACAGTCACGTGACAATGTGAATACACTGTCCCAATCGGCTCGAAAACATAATGCCATACTTAAATGCCTCGTCATCAATTGACAAATATTCCCTAACGACGGTTTCAAAGCAATGACCTTGCCTACAACAGAAGCCACCATGCGTGCACTTACCTGTCCTACATTTCCTAATATAGAAACAATATCTGCCCGGACTTTAGTAATCTTTTCCACCGGTACTTCCAATAACCCGCCTTGTAAATTCCATATAAACCCTAGCCATGTAATATTTGCAACGGGCGTAAATTGAGATTTTTCTTCATTAATTTGAAAACCTGATTTATTTAAAGTTTCACGAAGAAAAGTTGCAATCTCCAAGCACGCATTGAATTTTGAACAAACCCAGCCGTCATCCAAATATACTACTACTGGAATACTTTGAGATCTCCAATATTTAACTAAGGTTCTTACTACTTTTGTAAAAATATACCCAGCGGATGAGAGCCCAAACGGAAGTACTGTAAATTCAAAATATTTCTTTTTACCTTCAAATACCCAACAAAAACCCAGAAACTTTTGAAAATCGGGGTGTATATCCACATGATGGTAACCAGATTTCAGATCAAATTTGATCATAAATTGACCTTCTTTGGCATACAAAAGCGCTTCTTTGACACCCTCAAACTTGACCTTTTGCTTTTCTATGTACTGATTTACATGCCTTAAATCTAACACAAGGCGTTTTTTACCTGACGCATTGACCAAAACAGTGAGAGGATTAACCACATAAGAAGGCTCATGAACCTCTCGGGCACATCCATTAGAAACAAGTTCTAAAATTGCTGAACCTACAAACTCAGAATGATTTACAGCCGATCTATTGTTTTTAATAAATGTGCTAGAAGGATGTTGCATGAAAGGTATTACATATCCATACATGATAGTATTTATAATAAAACTATTTGCATTCAACTCTGACTTCCAAAATGCAATATTTTCTTTTAACTTTGATTTTACTCTTGATATTTTGATACTTTGCTCATATTCACATTGATAATTTAATTCTTCAAACATATACTCAACTTCATTGCTTTCATTGCTTGCTTGCTGCACTCGGGATTGGCGAGGATAAGGAGGGAATAGGTTGTCCTTTGATGTAAGGGCAGTCTCTGACGAGGTGTCCTGTCTGCTTACAATAGAAGCATCGTCCAAAATCTCGTGGGGTTTGGAAGTTCTGTGACCCAAATCTAGGCTCTGACTGTCGCCCCGTGTTGAACCGGAAGTTTCCTCCTGAGGTGTTAAACGATTGGCCAAAGCCACGAAAAAAGTCGTTGGCGGAGAAAGAGCCTCTTCGTCTATCATATGGCCTTGACCTGTAAGAACGCTTTCGTGCAGCCCGACCAACAGCATAACGCAACTTAGCAGCGTCCTCAGTATCGTCCGCCAGGGGTCATCCAGATATTCATGGACCGTGTCCCACCCATGCCGATCAGCGATCTTAAGAATCTTATTTCTGTGCTGCAATGCTGACTTTTCTTCTGTCACTATCTTGAGAGCTTTCGATAATTCACCTTCTTGCAAACACTGTTCTAATTCCGTCAGCTTTGAAAGTCTATCCTGATTAAATCCAAACTGAATTTTGTGTCCCTCGTGTTTGAATTCAAACGGAGCGTCGGGCACGCGCGAAGCGCTCTTCGCAGAACTGGCCAATTTCTCAGTGGGCGTTGTAATAGAATTCACAATTACTGAATTCTGCTTCTCTAAAGCCTTGTTTAACGAGGAACTAAACAAAGATACAGCTTCTTCGTTCGACAGACCCAAGTCAGTAGATTCCATTTGTATATCAACATCGTCCATTTTTAACACCAAATGTTCTTATACACAGTACATATACCTTACTACCGAACTTGATATCCTAAGAACCGAGCGAGCTTAGATAAACGCCCAACTCTGCAAGCTACTATTTATACCAACAAATCACGTAACCCTAAATTCGAACACGCGACAACTACGGCCGCACATAAGTATAATTGATTGTCAGCTGTTTACAAGTATGCACCCCTGTCAACGCGCGATCGGCAACGCGGATAGTTAAACTCAACTACATGAAGAAGATGAGGTTAAATAAAACATTATTTTGTCCTATTTCCTCGCAATTCTCCTTCAACATTTCTGACTTTTTAAATGCTACTAGACATGTTCAACGCCATAAAAGTCCCCTACGCATTAAAAATCACCATATATTATGTTAAAGTTAAGTTTTCCTTGAACATGACTGCCCTAACGTGACACATAAAGCTCGTTTAAGTGGTATTTCTTACCTTATTACGTATACCCGACAGTCCAAAAGGCACATTTTCATTGTAAATAGGTAAATCATAAATTTTAAATCCGATTTGAAGTTCTTCATCAAATAGAAAGCGTTGAAATAAAGGTTTGAAGTGAACACATGCCAAACGTTTTGGCGATCGGCAACGTTCTATATGCGATCGTACAACAAAGAAAATATGATAAACATACGATCGTGCAACTTGAAATTTATAAAATACTTTTAATGAAATAAAGTAATAGATAACCATGTGGTATGGGTGGAAAGTCTGTCGAAATAGAACGAGATACCGAACATTTGATTTTCGAGAAAGAGCGAATTTAACTGACGTTCTTGTATATTAGTTGAATAATGTCCGTATTTTAAGAGAACAAAATTTAAAACTCCATGGAATCTTAAAACTTGATATAATTTGATTATTGTTTAAAACAGATACATGTACCTATAGAGTGTTATAGGACCGAATTTTAGCAATATAGAAAATAAGGTTTTATTGTCTATGATATGGCAGTTCAATTACAGGAGTTGGCATACATATCAACAAGAGGCCCATGGGCCACATCACTCACCTGAGAAGCTTTGACCATTCTGTTCTTTACCAGATTTCCCCCTTGTTATACATAATGCATCCCCACCTTACCTCACTGATCATAATTTAGACATTTTGAAATCTACACTACCCCATGATCCTTCCATGGGCATATATGTTTCAGCTTTTTTGGCCCAGTGGTTCCTGAGAAGAAGATTTTCAAAGATTTTTCCTATATATTTCTATGTAAAACTTTGATTCCCTATAATGGCCCCACCCTTCCCCCGGGGGTCATGATTCCTACAATTTAGAATTTACACTACACCAGAATGCTTCCACATAAGTTTCAGCTTTTCTGGCCCAGTGGTTCTTGAGAAGAAGATTTTCAAAGATTTTTCCTATATATTTCTATGTAAAATTTTGATTCCCCATTGTGGCCCCGCCCTTCCCCCGTGGGTCATGATGTGAATAATTTAGAATCTACACTATACCAGGATGCTTCCACATAAGTTTCAGCTTTTCTGGCCCAGTGGTTCTTGAGAAGAAGATTTTCAAAGATTTTTCCTATATTTTTCTATATAAAACTTTGATTCCCCATTGTGGCCCCGCCCTTCCCCCGGGGGTCATGATTTGAACAATTTAGAATCTACACTACCCCAGGATGCTTCCACATAAGTTTCAGCTTTTCTGGCCCAGTGGTTCTTGAGAAGAAGATTTTTTAATGACACAACCCTATTTTTGTCTTTTCTTGATTATCTCCCCTTGCGAGGGGATATGTCCCTTCATTTTAACAATTTAAACCCCCCTTCACCTAAGGATGCTTTGTACCAAGTTTGGTTAGATTTGGCCGCCCACTGCTTCTTGAGAAGAAGTCGAAAATGTGAAAGTTTACAGACGGACAGACGGACGACGGACAAAATGTGATCAGAAAAGCTCACTTGAGCCTTCGGCTCAGGTGAGCTAAAAACTGTTGTTGTTTTTTTCAGAAAATAAAAAAGATATGTATTAATACTATGAAAAAACGATCAAAGGAATTTGCATACCTACATGTAGCAACTTTACCGAATATTTTCAGTAAATGTTTTCAGTAAAAATGTGTTGTACACGCACGTAATAATATAACAGCATTATGTATAAATGATATATTTTAATTTACTGAAAACTGTTACCGGTATTATTTTTTCTAATTAATTGCCAATTTCAATATCATGCACGTACATGTACATTGTAGAATCAGGGATGGGGTGGGGTGAAAACTTTACTTTCATAGGCGTCGGAAGCAAATTAAAAGGGGGGGGGGGGGCTAATTTGAAATTGGGGGGGGGGGGCTAAACCAATAGACTGGTTGTCCCCCTTTTGCAGTATATAGTCAAATCCGGGTAAGGCAGATGGTATTTTTTGGATAAAATTTGGTTGTTCAAGAACTTGAATCATAACACCCCCTCCCTCCATCCCACACAACACATTTCCGAAATTGAATTTTGAGTTTAGAAAATGTTCCTTTACTTACACTTCGCATGATAAACCATCTAAGATATTTAGAGGGTTTTTTTTGGGGGGGGGTGACACTGTTATGAAAATTGAGGTAAAATTTCTACCTACATTTTTGTTAGCCATCAAACTCTTTTTCAATTGTATCTATTTAATCTACGTATAGTTAATTTCAATTTTCTATATTAATGTAGGACAATTTTAAGAGTTAAAAAGGTATATAACAATGACTGATTGCCTAATTTAAATGTAAAATGTCTATTGTACGAGGGTTGTCCCGTAAAATCGTAGACAAGTTGTCTAGTGTGAAAAATAAACATCACTGCGTTCTGAAATTTTCACTATTATTTAGTACATATTTAAGTAATATACACAGCAAATTTCAGATAAATATATGCATAAATAAACAAATTATGAGATTTTATGCCATGTATTGTATCACCTTACGGCGCATGGATTATAACGTCAAAGTGTCTAAAACAGCGTCACGTTTTATCTTTGCTGAAAATGAAGTTGGATGAGTCCGACTTAAATTTAGGAATTTCATTGATACAAATTCTTTAGTCTCCATAAACAGCCGAAGAACCAATTGGCACCCTTATGCGATCTTCTGAAGATCGATTTATTAGTAAGTTACAGACAATATTCTCACCATCATTCAACTAATAGAAAATCTCATATCGGCGGTCTACTGTCACTACTGTCACAGCGTCTTTTGCTATTACATTAGGAGTTTGTCCGTATGTTTTGTACTCCCCAGGGACTCGATCAAAAAAACTTCGCTAAGAAAACTCCTATTTCATTTGTATACTTAAGATATGGTGATATTTTTATAATCTTTTTTCTTCTATGGTCATTTCAAGTCTCTAAAGGTGTCATTACAGCATCGAAATAAAACTGAACTGTTCTCCGGTGCGCCGTAACGTCATAAAACGTCGCCATTTTTCGTGCGTTGTGTTTACCACTTTCCCATTTCGAATGCTCGAGAAACTGTAAAAAATTAAGCAAATGCCTTAAAATTTTTAAAAAGACTACAAAATTGATTGTGGAATTGAATTAGGATAATTTTAATTCAAATCTTATGTATTTACAACTTTTATTTTGAATTCAAACTTGTGTATTCTTTAATAAAACCTTGGTTTTTTGACCGTGCGCCGTAGGACAATACCTCGTGCACATTCAAGCATAATAAAATCTTTATTTTTGCTTATATTTTATCAAAAAAATTATCATGCACTTAAATATGATAAATAAACATTTACTGAAATTTTCAGCTTAGTGCGCCCAATACTTTTCGAGAAAAACGCTTTGTCCACGATTTTACGGGACAACCCTCGTATATCAAAATAAACTTTTTGACAACAAGATTCTCTGATTTGTACTATTCTTATTTCGTGTGTTGTACGATCGCTATTTCTATGTTGTATACGATCGCTTCATAAAAAGATAATGTCGTTGACGATCGCCTCGCGGTTGTCAAATTTTCCAGTTAAAGTTTGTTTTAAGGTAATGTATGTAGTTTTAATTTTAAAATCATTTAGTACATACTTCCAAGAACCGTTACATAACAAAAGCAGCAAATGTTCTTAGGTAATAACAACAATAAACTATTTCAAAGCATGAAAATTTGATATTTTGAACAATGTCGATTTGATCGGTAGCATTTGCACAGAAACTGTGAAACAAATTTACTCTCGTTGAATCCTAAACTGTAGATAATTACCTAAACTAAATGTTTTCTAATTTTATTTTCAGCTGGTTACACTCCAGCACATACAAAACTATTTAAATTTACCCCCTACAATACTTTCTTCTTCAATGTTTTGATCTGCGTTGCCGATCGCATCCGCGTTGCCGATCGCGCGTTGACAGGGGTGTAAAAAGTAATACCGGTAAACAACCATTAATTGTCATACTTTTTAGCTCACCTGAGCCAAAGGCTCAAGTGAGCTTTTCTGATCAAAATTTGTCCGTTGTCTGTCGTTGTCGTTGTTGGCGTTGTTGTAAACTTTTCACATTTTCATCTTCTTCTCAAGAACCACTGGGCCAATTTCAACCAAACTTGCTACAAAGTATCCTTGGGTAAAGGGAATTCAAGTTTGTTCAAATGAAGGGCCACGCCCTTTTCCAAGGGGAGATAATTATGAATTAGAGAAAAATTAATGACATTTTAAAAAAATCTTCTTCTCAAGAACCACTGGTCCCGGAAAGAGGAAAGTGATGTGGAATCATCCTCAGGTAGTGTAGATTCAAGTTTGTTCAAATCATGACCCCCTGGGTTAGGGTGGGGCCAAAATTGCCGATCAAAGTTTTACATAGGAATATATAGGAAAAATCTTCTTCTCAAGAACCACTGAACCAGGAAAGATGAAACTCATGTGGAATCATCCCCAGGTAGTGTAGATTCAAGTTAGTTCAAATCATGACCCCCGGCAGTAGAGTGGGGTCAAATGGCCGATAAAAGTTTTACATTAGAATGTCTATGGAAACCTTTAAAAATCTTTTTTCAAGTACTTTAAAGCCATGCTTAGTACAGGGAATCATCCTTAGATAGTGTAGATTCAAGTTTGTTCAAATCATGACCCCCTGGGGTGTTAAAATTCAAGACCCCCCCCCCCCCCCCGCTCAGTAAACTAGTTCTGATCTGATGTGTGCTTTTTCCTAGCCAATTGCTCAG